TTTATTTCAGGATAGGTGTCTATCTTAGTTCTCTACCATTCATTGAGTTTTGCCTAGTTTGAATAATAAAATTGCCCTGTGAGGTTGTCCACGGATGTTGTTGATTGATATTCTATGAAATTGGTTTATTGTTGAATTGACCAGAGGTGGAACTTGATTTTTATATAATTGTTGCATAGGGAGTTGGCATCTTGCGTTTGGGGTTAGGTTTGAACAGTTGGGTAGTTAACGTGACCTAGAAGTGTGGGGGAAATTCTGGGTCGCTACAGTTATAACCATCGGGTAAGTGGGGACCAACTAGTCTTCACCCATAAATAGAGGGGCCACTCCGTACACAGGTACGAAATTCTCATTTCTCTACTCCAAATTGAATAAATCGAACCATCATTGACTTTAGTGTGATAATATTTTCTCTATCTATGTGCAAGTCTTCCTCCTACGCCTCGTACTAGGATTCCTCAATGCAATCTTCAATGCGATAAAAATCTCCCAAAAAAAGGTGGATACATCAACCCAAAGCAAAATAAATTATATATTTCACATACATAAGCAAACGTCGCAAATAAAAGGTGCATTTTTCAGCCACCTTATTTTAGGATTAAGGCAAGGCGATCCCCGAGCTTCAACCCCACACGAAAGTGTTAGGGCATGTGGCAGCGGCAAACTTGGTGCAGCTCTCGAGGGCGACGCCATTCTTAGCGACACATAGGACGATCTCGTGTAGCTGTCTAGCATTGGACTTGTTGAAATTGCAGCGAAGCACTGGCCTCTTTCCAATGGCTTTAGTAATGGCAGCTTCAATGCTGGCTCTTTGCTTGACTTTACCGTCTGGGTTGTGGCCTGCCTTCTTGAGGATGGACAATAGATCATGTCTTTTTGCAATATTTAAAGCGTTTTGGAAATAAGCTCTTCCTGGGAATTGCTTCTCTGAACAAGTCCCGTGCTTTGACCACTCATGCTCCCAAAACCTCTGGTGGTTCCCATTCACCACGTCCGGCCAATATTGGTTTAGTTGTGCTCTTATGGGAGCAATCTGATAAAAAAAAGTTCCATTTCTTAAATTATATTAATGTTTTTGTTTCAAACATTAAACCAATGTTAAATCTTAAATTTAGCATCTAAAATTTGAATATTGTATCTATTTAATATTATGGTTATTTAGCATTTTATTCAAACTTTTAATTGTTTTAATTGCACCATGAAAATTATAATTATGTTTATATATACTTAGTTCGATTATCCTAGATGTTACATCAATAATATACTGTCAACATGTCGTGAGTTCAAATCTCCAATATAGTTGTTGTACTCAAAAAGACGTACTCAACAAGAAAAAAAATATCAATGAAATACACTAACTTGCATGCTTATTAGATAAATTCTAGCTATGTTGACGTTTGATGCGGCACATGACACTAGATCAAAACTATTTAAAGATGACTACCTAAGATGATCATATTGCTATCGAGCATAACTTAGTAGTTATTGACATCTATTCACTCTCTCGAGATTGGAGGTCGATCCTTCGTATCCCCAAATTATTGTACTAAAAAGAGAGAAACAAAAAAAAAAGATGATACTATTGCTTGAAATTTAAGGACAAAACTTACCATTTAACCTTGACAGAAAATCTTATATGAAAAGAAAGAAAAAAAAAACAAAAAAAAAGGTGTTCATCCTGGAGTAGATCCTGGAGTAGATAAGAGAATCAAATTTTATTTTAAAATTCAAATATTAAAATCTTTTACTGATTAAGTTTTTGCTTTTTCAAAAAAGA